ATTGAGATTGAGATTAAGATTAAGATTAAGATTAAGATTAAGATTAAGATTAAGACTAAGATTAAGATTAAGATTAAGATTAAGATTAAATTTAAGATTAAGATTAAAATTAAAATTAAGATTAAGATTAAGATTAAGATTAAGATTAAGATTAAGATTAAGGTTAAGATTAAGATTAAGGTTAAGATTAAGATTAAGATTAAGATTAAGATTAAGATTAAGGTTAAGATTTAGATTAAAATTGAGATTAAGATTAAGATTAAGATTAAGATTAAGATTAAGATTGAGATTAAGATTAAGATAAAGATAAAGATAAAGATAAAAATAAAGATAAAGATAAAGATAAGGATAAAGATATAGATAAAGATAAAGATGAAGATAAGGATAATAGATAAAGATAAAGATGAGATAAGATAAAATAAGATAAAATAAAGTTAGATAAGATAAGATATGTTGCATACTATTAAATAAATAAAGTGGCTTATTAATGGCATGGCATTAATATCGTTTGCCTTTTAGAAATTTGAGTAGTTTACAATTTCAGGAAATATAACACATACCGAAATTTCAAATTTCACGCAATTTGAGAGTTGGTAATTTGGGAGGGGTTGGAATTTTTTCATTAAATAAACTTCACTGTTAGTTTGTTAAATTTTAAACTAAATATTTTCTTTTGAAATTTGCATATTGGATAAATTTAACCTTTGCTTTTTTATCACAAATCAAAAACACTATAAAGTTAAAAAAACCTAGTATTTAACTCGTATTAAAAAAAACTCGTATATTTCCCGTATGTATGTATATGTATTTGATTTATATATTATGTAATTTTTTCGGAAAATGTTATTGAACTTGAAATTATAAAAAAAAATGCACAAATACAAAAAAATAAAAGAAAAGTTGTACATAAGGTGCATAAGTATTCTCATATATATGTATTTATGATTACATGATTTATATGATTTTGTATGTATAATAATAAAAAACTTTTGCGTATGTACAAATCTTTTCTATGTAATTGTGTACATAAATTTTTAAATTTCGCAAGCGATTTAGGCAAAAATTGTCATATTCAATATAGATATTAAATTCTTGAATATAACTGAGAAACTAGGATCCATATATATTTATTTTTTTGTCGGGCTCCTGTACATTCAAATGAAAATATATTTGTATACTTTTTGTTATACGTTTAAAATAGTTTTGTTATACGTACTTACATTTTAATATAATTTGTGTAATGAAGATATTATAAAAGATATCGCTGCTCTATCTGGTCTATCTGTTTGAAAAGTTTCCAATTTTAAATTAAAAAAATAAATAAATAAATAAAATGTATAGACTTGAATGTAAGAGACCCAGTGTATATACTATTGGTTGAACCTGTCAATATATGTATAATAATAAGAACCTGTTGAATTAGAGAAAGATGTATGTGAATATTTGTGTGTCCATTTAACATTTTTACATACACATGTCCATATGCTCATGTAAGAATATATATATGTGTAACCTATGTTATCGGTATATAACAGGGGTGCTAACGAGTAGGGTGAGTGGGAGCCAGGTTTTTCAAAAATTTTCAAATGTCCTCCATTAATTAAGTACATACAATTTATGGCGAGAACAAAAATTTTACGATTTTTTTTTTTACAAATGACTTCTTAAAGTTCGAGTTGCTATAAGTTTGGGCACATTAATTTTCATAAATTAACTTTATAAAACACTCGGTATATTTCATATAACTTTATTTTATTTACAAGAATATGTGAAATGAAGACTTAGTTATAACTTCGAATTATTTTAGGAATTTTGACTTTGGCACAAGTATATACATATAATGTATATAGCATAATGAATTTGCAATGGAAATGACCGTTTAAAATATAATATTATGTATCATGTTGCGTAAAATATTATATATAAATATATTATAAAATGTGTGTATATGTATGTATATAAGCGTACTAATGCATTGCAATCATTAGCGTTGCCCTGCACTTCGTGAAGGGTGTATCCACTTTGGTATGGAGTTTGTAACCACTTGAAAGAGTCGTCTCCGGTATGGACATATACATATATATATATTCTTGCTCAGCGTAAAATTCTGCGTCGATTTAGACATATCCGTACGTCCGTCCGATCACACGATAACTCAAAAACGAATAATGCAATCGACACGAAACTTTCACAATTTTTTTCTTTTGTGCCAACTACGCAGTAATTGAACCAATTCGGACCACGGGTTCGGGTAGCTGCCATGCAACTCAAAGAGGATTTTTTGAATTTGAAGATGTCTCCAATTACACTTTACATATGTTCTGAAAATTTTAATGGAATGACTCCATTGGTTCGGGTAGCTGCCATACAATTCCGAAAGTTAATTTTAATTATTTCGAAAAATAATAAAGCTAGATTCATAAAATTCGGCAGTCGTGTGTCCAATTTAAGGTCAGATATATTTCTGAAATTTTGGTGAAATGACTTGACAGGTTCGAGTAGCTGCCATACAACTCCAAAAATAAAATTTTAAATATTTGAAAAAATATCAAAGCTAAATTTATGAAACTCGGCCCTCGTGTGTCCACTTATAGGTCAAACATGATATTAAACAGATTTATTTGAAATTTTATATATAAGCTTCGTTTGGCTGTTCGCGAAGCCTTCTAACTTTTGGAAGAAGTCAGATGTCAGCAACTGGACGTTTACTGCGGGCCAAACGAAAAATAATATAATATAATATTGTGTATATAACGAAAAATAATCAACCGATTTAATTGAAATTTTATGTTCAAATTCGAGGTGTTAAAATAATGAATATATAAATTTTTTGAAAGATGAGGGCTCGAAAACTGATCTGGGAGTCGATTTTCCATTTTTTGCCATATCTACGAAACGAATTGATGGATTTTCGTATAATTCGGAGGGCATAAAATGAAACTCTACTAAGAGCCAAATTCACATTTTTTGTTAACTTTTGTTATATGCATTTTCATAATCTTCTGGAATACTTTTACTAATCTAGACAATATAGATTGCGGTCAGTTATGTGCTGACCACATCAGATATTTGCTAATATGACAATTTTTGTTTGAAAACAGTTTAAGAAAATCAAATAAATAATAGTCAGATCAATTTTGAAATTGTATGGCAGCTACCTGAATCAGTACCCTGATCATATTCAATTTAAATAGGGTTTTGGCATTTACTGTAATAAATAATGTGTGAAAATTTTTGTTTTTGTCCCAAGTCTCTAGCACACCTCAGAAGTAGCTATATACATATGTTGTATATAATATGTCAAAAAAAAACGTGTGTGTTCACATATCGCATATCAGTCTTTTTTTTGTGAATTGTTTACAAATTCTGTACCTACTCATACTGTATATGTATTTCTCCTTTTCATATTGATTCGAATCTTATATTTAAAGTGTTTGGAGTACATATTTATATGTATGTATGTACAAAAAACATTTTCCCTTCCGGTTTACTTTTCGTTTTTTTTTTTGTTATTTCCTTTGACCGGACTGACCAATACAATTGTTGACCTAATTTTTATGCTTGTTCTCTTACGTGTTTCACCGTATTTTTTATTTTTTTTAAAAATTTGGCTAACATTTGTAAGAAATTTCCTTGTTCTTTTTTTGGTACTCTTCTTTATGGTTTGTTTTATAAGGACCTAACAGGCCTTAACAGTATATGCATGTATGTATAAATGTATAAACAAATATAATATATATGTATATATTATTAGAAATATATTGCGTATATATTTTACAAAATTTATTTAACAGCGCCAATGTTATTGTTATTCTCATTTATGCTTTTGTTTTAAATTTTTTCATTCATGTAAATTTTTTATATACAGAGATGTTTATATAACGTGTATAGTCTGAAATATATATATGTATTTTTAATATATATTATATATATAATATATTGTATAAAAAAAGGTATCCTTATAGACCTTACATTTAATATCTAATATTGTCTAAGTACATAGATATACTGCATGTACTAAATATTACTGATATATATTATTGCTTGCTAAAGCTCATAAGTTCCAATCTCGAGCACTAGCTGAGGTTGGAATCGGTCGAAAATGATATAGGAATTATCGTATCCGAAATACATAATACCCTTTGGTTAATGTTCATTTTTGTGACCGGAAAATTTTGTATACGTATAAAGTAAAAATACGCCTGGGAGAAGGACATTTTCGTCCAAGAAATCATGTAATATTTTTGTATACGTGTATATATTTTATCACTATTTTTTGTTTACAATGTATATGTAATATTTAATACGGTATATATAAATGTTCTTATGAATTTGTAACATTTTTTGAAATTGAAGAAAATAAAGATATTATATATGGCTTGTTTTTGCTTTAATCATATATTATTTAAAAAAAAATCTATTGCAGACCATATACAGTGTGTCTCGTAACAAAGTCCACTGCTATATGCCATTGTATAGGCCTTCATGAATAGACATAACTTTTGTATGGAGACTCTGTTCGCAGCTCAACAGGTTCGGAGCTACAGGGGCTAAAAGTAAATTTTGACTGATTTTTTTACTTTTTGAAATTTTAAGTATAACTCTGCGACTATAAAAGACAGGTGCATTAGCAAACATTATTTGCAAGCCTCAGAGTAAGGGCTTTTTTATGAATATCTACATTAGTTATAATCTGTTCAGATTTCGGAATGACATGACTTTATAGTTCGAAAAAGTTGAAATATTAATTTTTCATTTTTAAAAAACGTTAATTTTCTAGGTGACGTAACATGTGAGATTTGTCTAATTTTCAAGGTGGCAACCTTGACAACTGAGCTTTAATTAGGTGTCATGCTACCTGATCTGTTATTGTAAAAAATAGAGTACAGTAATTGCTATTTTATACCAAATTTTTTTCTTCATTTACTTAGAAAAATGTACAAAATTCGCATAATGTTGTTTTTCTCTTAACAACCGAGTTTCCCTAACATTTGCAAAAATTAATGGTCTGGAGAATAGCATATTGGGTCTCTCATTGATACAGTTCTGTAAGTCATTAATTTCAGTAAATCATCATTTTCAGTTTGAAGACCTTTATACAATTAAATATTATGTAAGATAAGAATCAAAATGAACAAATATCGACCAGATCGAGAAAAAAAAGCATTATTTCAATGGCTGCATTCATATATACCTAGATTAAATTGTATATATACGATTATTCAAGTATAATTAAAAATATTTTTAATCAGATTATCACAATTTTGTTTTTGGAAATTGTTGAAGTTTAGAAATTAATACTATGGAATATAAGAATCTAATTAATTAACATATGAAAATTAACACAAAAATTAAATGTATGTATGCAAGACAAAAAACTAAAATTTCTTAATTTTTTTTTTTTTGGTTAAATGTTTTAATGTTTTCATTATTAAGAAAAAGAAGAATAAAAAACAACTTAAAAAAATTATCAAAAAGTCATCATTAAAATTCGTTAACCTTTTTTTTCAAAAAAAAAAAATATTCTCTCATTTTTGTGTATTTTTTAATATTTATGTTGGTTATCATTAAGTTGAATGTTATTATAAACACCTTATATGTATTAATATTAACACTCCCAAAAATATTTCCCCATTATTAATTTATTTTTATTAATTTGATTATATTTTTTTTAGTTATTCATTATGATCATATATATGTATACCGGGTGATTCAATAATTAGTGACATAAAATTTACCATCATTTAGGATTGAAAAAATGAGTATAGTTTTTGTTCAGAACGAAGGGTCAAATATCAACGGTTTTCGAGGTACAGGGATTTTAACGAATTTTCAAGAAATTTTTATTTGCCCAAGCATTTTTGCTTATAACTTCCTTTCCAAAAAAAGATAAAATCTTCAACTAAACAGTTTTTGAAAGGGCTAGTATAGGGCTTGAAAGAAACATATTACTTGATATTTTATTTCATGTACCTTCGAAAAACCCGGCATTCGAACTTTGGAAAAAATTTAATTTTTCCCTTCTTTTATTTTATTATTTCTCTTTAACCTGATAATTTCGTACGAAATTTTTTGAAATTTCAAAGTTTGTTTTTACAGAATTTTGACTATACTTTCTCAAGCTTTAATTTAAAACACTAAATGTTAAAAAATCTTTTATGGTACAAAAACCTTGTCTATGTCTAAATTTTAGAGAACCTAATAAAATACAGAAACTCAAAAAATTGTTACTTTTTTTTAATTTATATTGATTCTAAGTGCTGTTATTATCAACTATTATTATTTTTCGATTAAAAACGTCACTCTAAAAAGCAGTTCGGATTTTTAAGAACTGTTATTTTATTAATTTAAATAATGTTATTATAGATATTTATAAAATATTTTCTTCTATTTAACTATGGAGAAGCACTTAATATTGTGTTTATCAATTAGCAGTGTATTTACATAAGAATTATTTAATTAAAATTGTTATTAATATAAAATACAGATAGGACAGGGAAGCGGGTAGAGAGAGCGATAGGGTTGCTGGGAGGAGCTGATTTCTCATTTTACTTATAATATAATGAAAATCAAATCCACCTTTGGAATAATACTTTGGAGTTTTAAAATTAATTAGATTATACCATAACTGTATTAATATACTCCTACGTAATCTTATATACATTTATTAGATTAGATTAAATGAGGATTAAAAATGTACCGCGATAGAGAGAATCTCAAATTCTCTCAATCTCCTCTCGCCATTTCTACCTTCTTCCTGAATTTCTCCCAAATCCTATGCATAAAAAATGCATATATCGCTGATTTTGCTGCAACATTGACGGATAACTCAAATAAATATGAGTACGATGGAGTTACTTACATATGCAGACAGACATTTTTTTTTCTTATGCAAAAAAACACACCATCGTTTTTATTAACTCAATGGAAAAAATCTTCATACAACTGCAGAACAGATTGATGACGTAATCAAATGAATGAGGTAAAGGCAGAAAAATTAAAAAATTTTCTCCTCGAACTTCACTCGAACCAGTAATCTATCGCTTTCTAGGCGGACACTCTACCAACTGAGCTATAAAAATTGCCGACAAATTGTTATTCACATTGCTTTATATTGTAATCCACATGGTTACAACTATTGTTTACATGACATGCTCCATGGAGTCTTTTATTTGAAACACATATAAGAACATATTAATAGTTAAGTGTCTATTACACTAATATCATTACTGAATTATTAATACAACGTGTAGCGGTTGTATGAAAATATTTCCATTGCGCTAAAATTATTAGTGTAATAGGCACAATACTTATTGCTTAAAAACTACTGCACCAACACCATCATTTCCCTACCGCAGAGCTAAAAAAATATATTGTTATTAAAACATAACAATCAATAACACTATTAAGAATTTTATCACTTATGCTCAATTTATGAGAATATGAAAATAAAACGAGAATAAATAAGTTGTGCAGAAAATCGGTATACATTTTGTACAATACGGATACGATATAATTATATACCATTATATTGCTCTTGCATCGATCATGTGAGAATCGAAAATACATTTTTTTTCTTTTTCTGCATTTAAAATTAAAAATGCATCAAATTAAAAAAAAAATTCTCTCTGCAAATTCTCGCACCCCTCTGACAATTATAATATGCCCAAATAAATTAGTTTTTGCTTCGTTCGACCAAAGGATATTGCTCCACTTTTTTATACCCTCTGGTCCAATCTACTCTGAATGATTTTTAGCAATAGTTATTCTAAGTTTAATATTTTTTTTTTGCTGACATAGAGAACTTCTCTAGCTTCGCCACCAAATAAATTGTTTTTGTTAAATATTCTACGTATGCTTCTAGCACTTACATTAGCCTGGCATTCTTTTAATATTTTTTTTGAAGATTAGAATGGGTTCTTTTTCTTATCATTACAATTTTTCTGTTAATTTTTTTACTCGTTCATTTGTTTTCTTCCGCGTGTTTCAGGACTTTTATTATCTTTTTAAAGCATTAAAAACCAAATGTACAGAACGTTCAATTATTTTGGAAATTTTTCTCACATTTTTTCCTTGGTTTCAACAATAATTCGATCGACCCATAATTCTGCAATTTTTTTTCAACTTTTCAAAAATTAAGCTATTTGAATATTATAATAATTTCTTCAATATTTGCTTAAATAATTTAAAAGAATTAATTTTATTTATCAATAAAGCTACATTCGCAGGTTGTTTCTATTATCTTGACCAGATAAAATACGGTACTTTTACTTTCAAATGGGGAATTCCCGCAAATTATATTTTTTTAGTCACAATAAATAATATTCACAATAGAGCATAATATAGCAAAATAATTTTGCAAAGGATGGCATTTAATTCGAATATAATTTTCAAAATATACGAAAGAAATTATAAGTTTACAAATACAAAGAGCCGTTACCATAATGCTGGAATTTTATAGTTATTTGCGTGTGCTAAGAAAAGTAATTTCAGTTTCCGAAACGTTAGGTTCCAAAAATTCAAATTTTACATATTTCGGGGGCGATAACTTGAGAGGTGGTAGAGGTGGAAAATAATTTTCTGCTAGCGAAAAACACAGTTTATTAATATCAAAGAGGTGCTGAAATTTCAGACTTTCAACCTGTGGTGAAAACGACATTAAAAATTTAACAACCTGTAGAAAAATTTGGAAAAAAAGGATTTTAGATAGCGGTAAATTTTAAGGGCCATTTTGTTTTTTTAAAGTTCAAAAATAATATGCCGTGGTAGAAGAAGGCAGCCACTATATTTATGCAACACACATTACTTCATTGTTAGGACATCATTATAATTTTTATTGTTTTAAGTTTTTTTTCGTTCTTCTTTTCTTATTTGTAAATATGTACAAATTTTTTAAAGAAAATATTACGAACAATGTATGTAAATAAATATGTAAATATGTACATTTGTTTATATTTTTCTATTCTAGTTTCTTATTGGAGTTATTTTTACAATTAAATGTACATAGTGTTACTGTTATCGAGAAAAAATATTAAATTCAATATGTTTACATTCGTATATATTTTTTTTACGTTTGGGTCTTTTTTGAAACGGTTCACGTTAGTTCTACTGAAAATTTTAAAACGTCTCTCGCACTCCTTAAATTGTCTTCTGGCCTGCTCACAAAAATCTCTGCTATAGAGTATATATATTATTAAAAATACATAGATAGAAATTACCCAAAAGCTCTAGAAACTTTGCATTTTCTAGAGCTCTACTTACAAAATCCTATCTAATACTTTTTGTTCCAAGGCTCTGCTCCTAGAAGCAACCGTACTTTTTGAGACCTGAGAAGTGGCTATATGTATGTATATAATTATGACAGTGTACATATATGTATTAGGTTACCACACGCACTTTATAACCAAAAAATTTTTTAATAATTTGATTAAATCAAATTTTTTGCCCAATATTGCAAATATTTCAAATGTTATTATTTTTAAAACACACACGATATTATAATTTCTTAAATAAAATTGTTTTTATTTGTTATATATACATTAATATATGCAATATTTATACTACAAGTATATATAAAAAAACTTGTAATTAATAAAGAAAGTTTATTAGAATAAAATTATCATATAAACTGTAAATCAAAAGCCATAATTATTTTAAGGTGAGGCTGCACCTTAGACACACAGTTAAATTTTTACAAAATAAAGCGATCCATATATGTATGTATATAGGAATTGATATTAATATATAACTATGTATGTAATTTTTACATTGTATAACATTTTATTTATACATGTATGTATACATATTTATGTATGTATTTCAAATTAATTATATAGATTTCGAGATTCATTGATTTTTTTTGGTTTTTCTTGAATTTTTACCGACCGCATTGTGTATACAATAAGGTAGGTTGTGTGATAGCAGCGAATTTTGCATATCGAGTTTTCGGTGGAAACGCGCTTCCCCATGGTAGGCAAGCGTAAATAAACTATTTTTAGTAACCAGTCGGTCTATCGGTCTGTGTGTGCACGCTTGTATCTCAAGTTCGTCTGAACCGATTTTGAAGAAATTTTATATGTAAGTACATTTCGA